TAAAGACTCCATGAACATTCACAACACTGGCGTTCGGCATGTCACTCAGCACATTTCAATTCAGAATCCCCACATTTCATTCCTCATTCGACATAATCATCACAGTGCAAGGAGAAGAGATTTGAGCAACAGCAACCATGCCGATCAAAACAGAAAAGGAAAGCAACAACAATGAATTGAAACAAGTTGCTTACAGTAGACGATCGAATTTATGAATACGACGGTACAGTCGCGAAACGCCGTACGTATAGTTGCCTCTTTGGGAACGGATGCTGCTGTACAGAACTCTCTTCTCTCTCACTACCTCTCTGATTTCCCCCCGCTCGTCTTCTCGATCAGCTTCAATCCCCAATCCCGCTGTCTCTCCAACCAAGAATTTTTACGGTTTGTTTGGTAGTAATTTTATATCTCTCAAATTTTTATTTATTTGATTCATAAAACATTATAAAAATAAATTAAAATAATAAAAATATTATTTTAATTATTTTATTTATACTTTAAATACAAAAAGAAATTTCAATTACTCGCATAACTACATGATTTTTACATATTAAATAAATACATAATAATATATAAAATTTATAAAATACAATAAATATAACTCCAAATTTTTTAAACTAAAATTCAATTAATCATATTGAAACTACTTAATTTGAAATTCATTAAATTATTTTTTATTTATATAATTAATCTTCAGATTGAAATTTCAAATGTAGACAAAATTCTAATATATATATATATATATATACACACACACACATATATATATCAAGTAATTAACAAATAAAAGTTGATTTAGAACAGAATAAGCTTTTAAGTAATTGAGTTTAATAAAGCTTCTTCACTAACAACATGAAAAATTAAAGTGAACGACAAATCATGGATTCTACATATAAATGCTCATAAACCCAGTATTTACATTCGTGTACTCTTCCTTTTAGGAAGATGAACATGGAACAGAACAAGAAAGGAGAAAGAAGAGAAGAACAGAAGATGGAGAAACATAAACAGTGTAGAGCACGGGTAGCTTGTAACTTGATTAGGTTTTCGAAAATTTTAATGATTCAGCTAATGAGAATCGCCGAGAGTCCAATTAGCTTCGCTTCCCCGGCGAGGAATGCTGTTCACCCTGGTGTACATATCGACCTTAAAATTAGCTCCGCACAGCACTCCTTCACTGTCAATTCTCGGCATTGCCTTTATCTTGTTCGTCGGATGCTCGAAGCTCATCAACCCACCTTCACTATGAAACATAAACCCTACACACAGACAATATTGTTTAAGAGGAAATTTATGAGACTTAAGTTTTTTTGTGGGGTAAAATTCGATTTAAAGAAGTTACCGGTTGGGAAAGGAGCAAATGATTTGGCACAGCCTTCTTTTATGACCTCCAAATCATCAGATATCACCACAGACCCATCAGCTGCTATGCCCCAGTAGAGCTTAACTCCACCATCAGAACCCTACCATCATCATCATATTCACAATTCACTAATGCGTACACGGGTGTATGTGTGTGTGTGTATATATATATATGTATGTATGTTATAGACATTCAAAATCAGCATATGGGTATTTGTAATTTATACCAGTGCAGCAAAGACACAGCCGGCTTTGCTGTCGTAGACAACAAACGCAAAGCTGCCGTCCATGTCTTTGACAACCTGATCAGCAGGGTAGGGACCCCGGTCACGCAGTGTCCGATAGGCTTCAATCACAAACATGGCTTCGTCAGAGTTCTTCGTCAAACCATATTGTCTGTTCAGATGGCAGAGGTTGTTCAAAGCACCCAGGAAAATACAGTATACATCGTCGAAACCACAGAACAACCTGCAACTACCCATAGTATACATCAAAAAAATCTACACATCCACATAAATTTAACTAAAGGTCAATATAAATCAAGGCAAGAAAGCAGAACAACTTAACCCGGCAAAAAAAGCTGCCGGGAAAGCTACGGAACAGCTGATAAAGGAAGAGGATAAGAAGAAGAAGAAGAAGAGGACCTTTGGTGAAGGGAAAAGGGGTTGTCAGATTTGACATAAGCAAGAACAGCAGCTTGACCAAAGGTCATGGAAAAAGCGTTGTGAGGATGATGAGAGAGAAAATCATTGAGGGTTTCATCAGGTAGCTTAGGTTTCTTGCTGGTTTTTTGAGAAGCAGGACTGTTAAGCTCCTCCGGCGGATGAGCAAAAGTTTTGTGAAAAATAGCCAACATTTTTCTTCTGATGTTTCTTTAATTGATCTTTCTCGATGATGAAGATGAACAACGAGAGAGATGGAACCAGAGGATTCTCGAAAGTATTTATACAGAAGCTACCGTTGATGGTTTTTGATTTTTCCTGGTTTTCTGTGACAGGAATTTCGGTGGGGACGAACACGGACGGAAAGAAAATGGAGCTTGGTTCAAAAAGGTGGCGGATTTTTATCCTCTCTCAGATCTGGAACCTTGTGGGAGAGGATAAGGATTAATTCTCGTACTTCAATGTAGTCTTATCGTTTTCTTTTTATTATAATATATAAATTATAATTATAATTATAATAACTATAGGTTAAATACAATATTTAAGTGTGCAAACTATATGGTAAATTCTTGTAACAAGTATTTAAATATTTTTTTAATAATAAATTTCATAAAAAATAATCATGTCATAACTCATTTCTTTATTCTAATATACGTCCAATTAGTAGTAATATATAAAATTATTTTTACATATTTTTATTATAACAATTACATATAAAATATTATATAAAATATTAAAGATAAAATATTATTTATATTTTAAATTGCGTATACGAGTTCTCCTTTTGGGACCCCACGTGAACAAAAATATTCCTTTTATAAACTTTTGTCTTCGTAATAATTTTTCATTTAATTAATTATATTTTAATGATTGAGTGCTAATTTAATATTTAATTTTAAGCATTAAATATTTTAACTAATAAATTATTTGTTCTTGATAATAAAATTATTTTTTTTATTGCACAATAAATTTATCGACCATAATTAATTACATAAGTAAGAAAGAACAACGGAGATAATTCGTGCGAGCTTATTTAGGATTTAGGGTTTAAGTTTATAATCACGGTGATCGGTTTTGTAATTTAGTCTTGAGTTGATTAATGACATATATAAAAGGTTTAAGAATTTTTTTTTATTTTATTTTTTAATTTAAAAATATTAATAGTCTAAGTATTTTGTACATTTATCTATCAGAATCATGTAAACTAATCA